TTCATCTTCTTTCTAAGGCCCTTGTGTTGGAAACTCAGTCTTCCTCTTCTAATCCCTTTGGTGTTCAAGGTCCACAGTGAGTGGGGCAGAACTGAGTCAGTGCATGACAGTGAGACCTCCAGTGAAAGTCTGCTGCTGCAGGAAGTGCATGTTGGTGAATCACTGGAGACCACTCCTTCGTTGCAGTCGGCTGCAAGCATTGACTAAGCAGGGTGAGGCAAGCACTGTGCTCTTTTGGAAGAGCAGCAGAGTGCTGATTTGAATGCCTGGCAATCAATACAAAGTCTCTCTGGCAAGAGGACAGGTATTAACCCCAACATCTTGGCGCAGCACCAGCTCAAACCTTTGCTTCTAGCCACCTGAAATTCCCCTGCTGGGATTCAGGATCTGCTTTCCCATTTCCCACCCTGCCTAACACACCTGTGGCATTCCTCTGGGCTGTTGGAATCCGGTTGTGTTCTGCTCCACAAGGGTTGTGTTTCAGACCTTGGTTTCCACGTAAGAATAAGGAAGACTTGGAAGGTGAATTCAGAAATGCCAACAAATGTTTTTTGTAAGGTCCAGCTACCTTGACCTTCAGTTTAGTTATATAAGTGATGCAAAGAATATCAGTACTGATTCCTCTGACTTTTGCATCAGCCCTGATATTGCCACACTGAAGGGTGGCTCATCACGCTTGCTGCCAAGGGCTGTTTCAATGCCCTTGGGGTGAGATGAGTATCAGGGAACAGGAGGGAGAGAAATTGGTGAGAGGCTCAGCCGAGGCAAGGTTGTGCAAAGCAGCGTGGAGTTCACATGGTTCTTAACAAAGAGGCATTGATTGGAGGCTCGCTGTTGTGACAGAGCTCACCAGGGCCTGGGGATCATTTCCAGAGCTTTCTATATGGGGGAGCAAGAACCAGATTTACAAGTGTGGGAGCCTTGATGTAATAACAGCAGCTTGCGGGCTTTTAGGAGAAAGGGTTTTCAGGTTCAAGAGCCACAAGCTGCCACTTCATCTGCTCCCTCCCCAGCGCCCCTCACACCCAAGGAGTCCAGACCTCCCTTCCCAACCCGCTGCCTGTGCTGCAGGGCACCTTGAGTTCTGCATGGTGCCCCCAAGGCCTTGTGTGACCCAGTAAATATCTGGGTTTGGGATCGTGGGGAAAGGCATCAGCGCAAACCACTTCAGAGGCCAAGGTGGAGGAGTAGGATCTCAGAGGTCTCCACTAATGAGGTCTTGGCACCAACATGTCTTTGGCACTCAGCTGGGCCTTTTTTATTGCTTTTGGTCCTGAACAAAAGCTTAACACCAAGAAACTAACGAGTAAAACACACCTCGGCAAGCTTCAACCTATACACCTAATGCTTCCATGCGTGCTGGCTGCCCCTGGGAGGTATCGGAGCGCATTGGTGGGCACTGGGAGATCTGGCATAGGCACCCCAAATGGCAGGATGTATCCAAGCCTTTTCCCAACCACACAGATCCTTCAGCAAAGAAGCAGCAAGGCGAACCCCCAGCGCTGCGCATCCACACACAAATCCTGCTTTATATGTTCAAGGCTCTCCAGAGGTTGATTAGTGATTTTCTTTTCTCCTCCTCTCCCGGCCTTGCACGCTCATTACCATCAATTATCTATGCGTTTGCCCTGATGAATTATTGAGTGTGTAACGGGGCGAGGGAAGACCTGCCATCCCAGCTCAGTCACCTTGCAAACAACTGCTCCCCAGAGCATGACGGCCGCTAGTTTGCCCTCTGGCTTCTGCTTGAGGATGGGAGCGTGGAAGGCTGATCCAGCAACTTGCAAAACCCCTTTACTCCATGTCCCCCTCCCTCATCGCTGCTGTTGAGGTGCAGGTGTTGTTGCCCTGGTATGGAGCACAACAATGGGTGAGCTGTTTTCCTGAGAGAGGCTTCGAGGAGCACAACAGAAAGGGTTCACCCTCTCTTGCAAAAGAGCCGTGGGTTATTCAGTCACCTGGAAAGGAAACACGATTTCCGCACGGTGTTTGGGGTTTTTTGGGGGGTATTTTTTGTTTGGTTTGTTTTGTTCTCGTGCTGTTTTTATTCTCCCCTGTTTTCCCCCGAAGCCTTTAGAAAGTTTGGAATGTGTTTTTGTTAAAGCTGCTACATGTAGGAGCCTGAATCCCAGCTTTGGCAGCGTGGTGTTGCTGGCAGGCAGTCCTGAACTGGCACCGGCTTTTTCCCTAGCCAGAAGTTTGCTACACCTGGGCAGAGGGTTCTGCAAGGACCCTTCTGGGGTTGGGTTTGTCATCACCAAAGTCTGCTTTTCCTCTAGTTCCTGTCCAAGCAGTCTGCACTGATGCATGGACCCCATGGCGGTGGTAGGGTAGAAGGGGGAGAGCAGGAGTAGGAATTGTTTCCACTGCTCAAAGTCAAGAAAAATCACTTGATTTTTAAAAGGATCGTTCATTAATTTGCAGGGAAGTCATAGCTTGAAGAAAGGACATAGCAAGGATAAGTGAGGGACTGGATTGATCTCTCTCTTGTGATGTATATCGCATTCTCCGCCAGGTTGGCTGGCAATACCCTTATTTAAGAGGCATGTCTTAGGTACCCATCCTTGGGCAGCGGTAGCCTGCATCCTGGCATAGCCTTCTGCATGCACAGCCCTTGTTAGAGAGAGACCAGCCTGCTGCCCTGCATGGGAGCTCTGGGGAGATGCTGGTGGCTTTCCATCCATCCTCTTTGGGGTTCGGCTCATCCCTCGCTTTTCTGGCAAGGGAGGAGGCACCGGGCCACGACTTCCTGCTGTCGTGAATGGGGCCTCTTTTATTGGGATGTGGAAAGCTGGGTTCAAAGGGAAGCGCTGGGGCCTGTGGGGGGTCAGGCAGCTTGTGTGGGAGCGCAGCCAGCTGCGCCATCGCCCCAGCCGTGGGCAGGTCCTGCTCCAGGGCATGGGCCCTTCATGAAAGAGGTGGGGACCGGTGCTGATGAATCCGCTCTGCTCCAGCCTTGGGAGAAAGAGGGAGTGCTGAGCACACCTACAGCATGAGATGGGCGGCAGGTTGTTCCCAGGGCCTTGGCTACGTGATTGCTTTTGCTCTCCGGCAAGCTCCCACACGCTTTGTGAAGCTCTGAAGGCTTCCGAGCCAGACTGCTTGGCAAATGGTGTGGGCAGTTCTGCAAGAGACTCTCACCTGCAGGGTAGAAGGAGCAGCACATGTTGGAGGCATCTCCCCTCTCGCCATCCATCTCCCTCTTGTCCCAGCATAGCGTTATCTACATCCAGCGCCCTCATTCCATCAGGAAGGCTGATGTGTGTTGAGGTCCCACAGCTCATGGGCTGGTCTGGTGTTGGAATAGTCTTCATGCATGCAGGCACATGAGGGCACCAGCGCTTTGCTGTGGCTGTAAGCAGCTCTGAAAGGCATTCCTGAGCACCCAGCTGCGATGCTAGGGTGTGGGGCAAACCAGCACTTGACTCAGGGAAGGGGGCAAGTTCACACAAAGCTCTAGAGACTTGAGTTTCGGTCTTAACTGCTGATGACTGTGGTCAGCTGATGGCGTCTCATGGCCGGGATGGATTGTTGAGGCTTGTCCTCGGGGTCATAGGCTTGGCGTGGTGGGAAGGAGAAGGGGAGAAAGAAGAGGCTTAGAGATGAGATGTGGGGACTGAGGTGAGGTGGAGGGCTGCAGGCATGGTGTGAGAGGGCAACATGGGAGCATGCTGAGGGGCTGGTAGAGGTGATGCTTGTGGGTGAGGCTTTTGTATGCCTGCTGTTGTGTGCGGGTGAAGGTGCAGGAGGGAGACCTTGCTCAGGTTCCTGTGTACATCACCCTGTACATCCCCCAGGAGTCTGGGGGGGATAAGACTGAGGAATTCATCTTGGGCTTACATGAGGAACCTGTTTGTCCCCTGGAAAAACAGAGCATTCTGAAACGCTCTGTCCCCTCAGTTAGGAGATGCTGCCCTGTTTCTCTCGCCATAGGTTTTTTCTTTGCCCAGACTTTGTCTCTTTCATTACCCTTTCATGTTCCTCCCTCTTTGTACATCTTTCTGTTTTTATTACCCCTTTCTTTTCCTTTACTCTCAGTCTCCCAGAATACATCCAGTTTCAGATCCTGCCAGAAGCAATGAGCAAAACCCGCTTTTCTTGTTCTTACCACCTTGCTTCTGTATTGCATTTATCATATAAATACTGGCTGTATAATTACCAGAGCGTTATCTCTAAACATACAGATTAGGGAAAGACACAGTGGCAGTCAAAGATGAATTTCAGGGTCAGTCTGGTGGGAGACCTTGCACTCCAGCTGTTAGGGGAGGGATCAGCTGAGGCAGAATAGCAGTCATGAACACCAGCCACCACTTTGCCCAAGCACCTTTCATCTTTCCTCCACAGGATGAAGGTGGAAGGTTCCTAAATGCAGCCACTTCTGGGGTTAATAAAAGGCCACAGATTATGCAGTTAGATCATGCAAGGTGTATGGGCCCTGCTGTAAGTCTGTTCTTAGATGGGAACTATTGCCACTCTGAAATCAGGGCTGAGTCTTAGCAGCGCACTTAATTACGGATGCATTTGCAATAGGATTAAATGGATGTCTGAGTGTGTGTTAGCATATGTTAGGATATGCCGTGCTGATAAAGATCAGTGCTTTCATGAGCCTCCAGATACACAGGCTCTGCATGTTTACAGCAACTGATCAAGTGTCGTCCAGATTTGAAGACAAAAGGAAGGAAAGTATTACTGATCCAACCTCATGCCTTTTGGTGACCATGAACCCCAGCATTAGGGCTGGTTGTAGTGAAGTGTAAACAGCGATTGTGGAAAGGAAGGCGTTTATGAGCAGGAATGAAGCTGCGGGAGATGGAGGTGGATGCAGGTAGTTGCAGAAGATAAGGGTGCTTGTAGCCATAGACTGGCCTCATATCAGCCATGCCAAGAAGCAGACAAATGAATAAATGAAGGAATTCATGGGTGTGATGTCCATGAACTGTTCTTTTGCTCACTTTCTCTGAAAAGCATGGGTATATTCATGTCTTCCCATTCTATTGCAGGGCTGCAAGCTCAGACTGTCTTAGTCAATGACACAGTCTCGGGGTTTATCGGAACAGACGTGGTCCTGCACTGCAGCTTCACCAATCCACTCCCCAATGTGAAGATCACGCAAGTGACGTGGCAGAAAGCCACCAATGGCACCAAGCAGAATGTGGCCATCTACAACCCTGCCATGGGGGTCTCCATCCTCTCGCCCTACAAAGAGCGGGTGACGTTCCGGAATCCATCCTTTAAAGATGGCACCATTCAGCTCTCCCGGCTAGAGCTGGACGATGAGGGAGTTTACATCTGTGAGTTTGCTACCTTCCCAGCTGGCAACCGGGAAAGTCAGCTCAACCTCACTGTGCTGGGTAAGAGTCCTGTGAGCCATTGCCTCCAGTTAAACAGATCTGAGACTCATTTCCTGGGAGCTTAGGGCAAAGGTGAATCTTGGGTGTGAATTGCACCTATAATGATCTCTCAGGTCGACTGTAAAGAGGCAAAGAGCAGGGAACTCAGGTGGTTCACTGAGCTCTCAAAGGAATGCCTCTTCCTCTTTCCAGGCCTCAGTTCCCCTGCCTCTTAAATGCAGGAGCAGTAACAGTGACCTGTGTCCCTAAGGGAGTGGTGAGCTGTAGTGAGCCGGTGGCTGTCAAGCGAACAGAGAAGAGACAACAGAAAGATCCTGTGCACAAATAGAGCTTGTCCATGGAGCTTAGGTTGTGAGTGAATAGACCCCACCTACAGTGTGCAGGATACATTTGCTCTCCAGTTTTGGTTTCTCACTCAAGCATAGTGCTGAAAACCTATGGCAGGAAATGACTGACTTTCCATGGTGTATCTATGCCTTTAAGGGACCTCCACCACTCTTTCTGCAGAGTAGGTTGCTGGCAGTTTTCAGCAGCAGGCTCAGTGGTGCTAGATGTCTCTTGGATGGTAGCATTGCTTTCCTAACCCTTTCTTTCTCCTCCTTTTTGCAATTCCTTGCAGCCAAACCCACAAACTGGATGGAGGGCACCAAGCGGCCGCTTATTGCTAAGTCTGGCAGGACAGAAAAGATCTTGGTAGCTACCTGCACCTCCTCTAATGGGAAGCCCCCCAGCACTGTCACCTGGGACACCAAGCTCAAAGGGGAAGCGGAGTTCGAGGAGATCCGGAACAGCAACGGCACCATCACCGTGATCAGCCGGTACCGGCTGGTGCCGAGCCGGGAAGCCCACCGCCAGCAGCTCATGTGTGTGGTCAATTACCAGCTGGACCGCTTTACCGACAGCATGACCCTCAACGTGCAGTGTAAGTGAGCATGGAGAGAACACTCCATGGCCAGGCCCTGGGGTGGGGATAAACCTGGCCAAAAAGGGGTTGTTCTGAATGCAAGATGCTGGCCTGGTGCAAGGGTTGAAGTAGGGGCTGCTGTCTCCTTCTGGAGAGTGAAAGCTGAAGTGATGCCTGGAATAATCATATGCTTTCTCTTTCTTCTTTCCCTCTCTGCCTCTGCCGTGTCCCTTTCTTCCTCCCCTTCTCTCTCTCTTCTTCATTCATCCTCTCTCACATTCCTTGTCCCATCATCTTTCCCACCTTTCAATCTCTCCTTCTGTTCACCTCTACCCCCTCATCACTTCCTACTTAATTTTCTCCCTCTTCTTTTTCCATAATTCTTTCCTCTCCTTTTCCATCCTGCTTTTCTCTTTTTCATCCCCTTGCAGATGAGCCAGAAGTCACTATCGAGGGCTTTGATGGCAACTGGTTCCTCAACCGGAAGGATGTGAAGCTGATATGCAAATCTGATGCCAACCCCCCAGCTCACACCTATGAATGGAAGCTGTAAGTGTCTACAGCACTGCTGCTCTGATCAGCACATATGATCTTCAAACAGGGACAAGGAAACCTATAGAAACCCTCTGGTCAGTTAGGGCCTGGTCACATTACAGTCAGTGATAATGTCCAAGGTAAAACCTGTGTATGTGAGGGGAGAGCTGGTCAACTGCATCCTCAATACCCTGGGTAACTTCCTATTCTCACTCCATTGGGATAACATTCTGCTGTGGTGATGTGAAGCAGCTATGACAAGGTGAATAATTTGCCCATCACCAATCGAGTGAGTCAGTAGGAGAGCTGAAAAAGAACCCAAGAGTTCCCTTCCTTAAAGGTGCACGAATAGCACCACAATTATCTCCATGTCAAAAAGCCTTTCCCTGGAATCCGCCCCAGCAGTGAGCAGGAGCTCCCCCTTGGAACACTCATCCTCCCGTGACTGACATTAAACAGAAGCAATTCCCGATCCTTCAGGGTTTCAGCTTTTGGCTGAGTGCACTAAAGGGATTGAAGAGTGAGTGAGGGGTGTCTGGGGAGTCGGATGGGAATTGATGCAACCTGGTGTGGTTCTCTCTCCCTCTTTCTTTTCTAGAGGCACTCGTGTAGCTTTAAAAAAGAAAGATCAAATGGATCCTTTCTTCTTTTCAGCTGGCATTTGTCATCAGGAAAGAGCCTCTCAAAATGGCTTTGTAAGGAGCTAGGCATATTCACTCTTAACTTTGCCTCCCAGATCAAACTGTTCACAGTGAAAGGCTGAAGAGGATTGTTTTTCTTGCCTTCTTTCTAGTTCTTATTCCCCTTTCTCTTGCTCTGTTGGTTCTGCCAGTTCAACTTAAACTCCAAGGGGACTCTCTGGGTTCCTCACAACACTGCCAGGAAAGCGGTAGAGGCAAAGATGCTCCTTGTGGCACCAAGGCAGAAGAGATTCCAGTTTAGGCTATCTCTGTGCAGCAGGACCGATGAATTGAGCTGAAGCAAGCCCTGTGAGATGGAGCTGGGGACAGAAGGCAGGGTTTTGCTCTGCTTTTGGGCAAGTCATTTCATCCCTTTGTTCTGCTATTGCTCACATCTAGGCTGGAGGCTGAATGCTTGCTGGGCTCCTGGGCATCAGGCTTTCTGCGGCAGGGGCTCTGTCACAGACCCTGGTCTCTGTTGGAGCAGTCTGCTCCTGCTATGACAGTGATGCTGCAGTCAGGCTCAGAGCTGAAGCATGGGGCCACCAGGTGCCAAATGTCTCAGCCAGGTGATGTTTCTGCAGCCATGGGCAAGAAAGAGGTTTAGTTACCAACTAGGTTCAAACACAACAGGGGATGCAGGTGTTAGGGTTGAGCATGGTACACTATTATGTGTCATTGGCGCACCTGGTTTATACAATGTGTGGGTAATAAAGTCAGCTCTGGCAGAAATGGATTCTTGGGAATAGCATCTCTGTGAGCCAGGCATTGAGTTGGTCCCCATGTGCTTATCTGATTGATGCCTTTGTTTTCCATGCTGGAAAGAGTTGTTTTCCTATTGGATTCTCTATGAGCTGGGCATATGTCCATTTGTCTGTCTTTAGCCTGCAAGGGTTTCTTGACGTACAGCTGGGAGCATCAATACTTTGCTTTGAGGAGGAACAGTGGGAAGAATAATGGAGAGAGAAAGCAAGGAGCTACAGAGTATGGGTTTCAAAGCCTGACAGTGCTTCAGCCTGATTCCCCAGTCTCTCTTGCACACTTGATGGGTCAGTTAGGACAGTGTATAGGATTATTGACCTGAGAGGATGGAAAGGAACAATGGAGCCCAGATGAAGATAAGGACAATGGAGGTGGAAGAAGAGGAAAATAGAGAAAGCAAGTGAGAGTGGGGCAAACAGAGGAAGAAAGGAAGGAGGATGGATGATGTTTGGTTCCTGCTTGGAATGTAAAAGCCATCCATCCCTGAAGAGCAACAGTCAGGGGAGCTGTTAGGGGAAGCAGTAGCCTTCTTTAGCATCACACACCACAGACTTCAGCTGCACCCTTTTGTTCAGGACCCTATAGGCAGAGGATCATCCTTAGGCTGTTGTGTTCTAACAGCTTTGGAATCATTGGCCTGATGTAGCTGAGAAAGACTTAAAGTGTTTGCTGTATGTATGTGCCTATGTGTACATGTAGACATGCAAAATATGTGCATGTGCGTTTAGGCACTTCTTTACAGACCTAATTATACCCCCATTATTCCCTTTTGTTTCTTACAAATTGCTGACAATATGTGCACATCTTTGGTGGGAGGAGGGGAAAGAATGACTTGAGTAATTTTTAATTGCCTAAGAGAAGTAATTACTTTACTTTGCTTCAGTAATTAAGAATAACCAGGCCATGTGTGTCTTTTCCTAACACACAGGGGGGTTGGTTTTATTTTCTGCCTCCTTTTGTTCATTCATTCTGTGTATCTCTAGATCTGGGTCTGCATTGTGCTGGTTTCACACCTATTCTGACATGGGCAGGTCATAGGTGGCAGGGCTCTAAATCAGCACTGCTTTACTGAGTTGCAATTAGCACTGGCTGATAAGCTGCCCAGGAGACTTCCATGGGCAGGAAACTGGAGTAAAACAGGGCCAGGTTGGTGTCCCATTCCTTTGTATCCCATCAAATGCAGAGTCAGGGTTGAAGGTGACCCAGATACGTTCAATCTCCCTTGTAATCACAGAGGAAGGGGGAAACAAAACCCCAAACAATCCATATAAAGAACCTGATTCTCATCATTCAATGGATTTTACCCTCTTTGTTTCCTCCAGGCCAAATGGGACTCTGCCAGGGAGCGTGGAAATCCAGAACAACACCATCTACTTCAAAGGGCCCGTCTCCTACAGTGTGGCTGGCACCTATGTCTGTGAGGCCTCCAACGCCATCGGTACCCGGTCGGGGTTGGTGGAAGTCAATGTCACAGGTAGGAAAACACTTGGTGTGCTTTGAAAGACAGAAGAGGAGGTGGGGAGAGAAGGGTACGAGTGGCTGACAGCTACCAGTTATGTCTCCTTAATGTCTGCCTTAACCACCAGTGTCCCCTCCTAGGGGTGGAAGTTTCACGATGGGACGGGAGCAGTGAAGTTCTTTGCTTTGTCCTGGTTTTGCACTGGTTTTGGCTTGGATTTTTTCTCCTTTCCACTTGTTGTCTTTTCCTTTCTTAAACCAAGCTACATTCAATTTATTCCCCCCTTGTCTTCTGCTTTGGAATCAGAGAGATTATTGGATAAGTTAGAAGCGAAGGCACAACAGGGAGACATTTGTTAGAAGGTAGAAGAAGGAGCAGGATGAGGATATGGACTACCGCTGAGGCAGTAAAGCATGAGACGGGTGAGGCGGTTGTTGAGGATGATGTTTGGTGTTTCTGATGTTAGGCAATGCTCCTTCCAAGGCCAGGTTGGTCTGTGCACTTGCTCATCTGACTGCCACACGTTACCAAGGAGCTGTGAGTAGCGCTTGAGTTGCAGAAAGCAGTAACATCATGGGATGCAGACAAGGTGGGCAGGCAGCACAAACCCAAGGCACGTGGCCACTTTTCCAGCTGGGCTCACAGCAGGGACCATGCGGTATCGGAGCATCCTGCATCTTGCAGATACCACAGACAGCATTGGTGCCTGCAAACCGGATGGGGAATGAGGACCACTGGGGTCTTCCCAACGCATGGGAAATACAGGAAAGGTGCCTGAGGCATCAGACCTGGTAGCAGGCCACCTCCTTGAGCCATCCCAGTCCTGGAGGAGCTGTCTGACCTGGGAGTGATGAAATGGGCTGCTGGCTCTCTTTGCCCACTCTCTATAGTGGTAAGTGCTGGGCAAGCATAAAGAGGCCTGGGCAGGTGACCTCCTGAAATTAGCAATAACACTGTGTTTGGCACCTTCTCCACCTCTTCTGCAACATGGGTAAATAAGGCTAATCTTCTTCTATCCAAGTGCTTGGAGGTCAGTGGATGGGATGTGCTAATTAGATGCTAATTACCAAGTATTTATTTATGATCATTATCAACTGTAGCAAGGCTTTAATTCACACCTCCTGTCCTGGATCCTTGCCTGCTGGTGTCTGCTTTTCTCTGGGGGGTATTTCATTAGCCAGTGAAAGGCACGAGAAGAGCACAGCTCTTTGTTGAGGACAGATGTGGCACAGCACCCTTTCCATCCCTGCCCAACCACCCGAAGCCGGGGAGAAGGTCAGAATCCATTCACTAGCCATTTAATGGCAGTTGCCACCAAAAGCGCTCTGTTTCTGGGACAAGTGCCTGGTACAAACTATCAGACGTGCTTCCCATCAGCAATAGAAAACAATCCCACACAGTACCAAGCACCTTGAGTCACATTGGAAGCAAGAACTGGGGGGAACAAGCCTCCTACCTCAGTCCCCAGTGGCAGAGGAGGAGGTGGGATGGGTATTGCAGAAGACATAGAGGAATGGGCTCTCTTCACCATGACTCATTTTCCATTTCTCTTCTCCACTTCTGTCTCTTGCAGTGTCAGGGCACGCGTTCTGAAACATCACATACAGCCTTGTCCTCATATTTCCTTCTGCCACCTGCCAGCATCTTATCTGTCTCAGCACAATAGCATCGCAGCCTGACTTGCCTGCATGGGCATGGGCTCTCCTTTAGGGACAAGAGCTGTGGGTTCCTCCTCTGGGCTTTAGGAAGTGTCTCCCTTCCTGGTGTTTCTTAAGGGGAGTGGTAGAGCATCCTTCTCATGCTCTATCGGTGCAGTGCTGGCAAGGGAAGAGGGGACGGGCAGGGGTTTGGGGGAATGACGTTGGGTTGATGTCTGCCTGCCTGTAATCTCAGTTTATTCCCAAAGGAGCGGGTTATGGGTTTGAGGTTAAATGAGAGGGAAGGAAGGGCACTCCCGCAGCTGCCTGGCTAGGAGGGATTACCAGGCAATCTGTCAGGCCAGGCCTCCACCACATAAAGAAACGCCTTTAATAATTCATGGGATCTGAATATGTTTATCCAGCTCTCCCTAAGGACCGATTAGGCCAGTGCTGGGGAGGGCTCAGCCATCCTCGCTCAGCTATTACAGGTACATTTGTTTGGGTCTTGCAGGCAATTTAGGGATTGTCAGTGGACCACGAAACCTCTTTCAAGAGCTGCATGCAATAAATGGAGTTCAATCTAGGGAGCAGCCAGCCTTGGGAGGAATAAAAACAGAAGGCTGATGCAGAGAAAAACCCTGCAGCAGCTTTCCCCCCTCCTGTCTCCCTGGGTACAGACCCCCCCCTCCTGCCACACAGCATCCTTCCTCCCAAGAGGGCTCCAGATAGGAGTGCAGGGATAGTTCAGCCCCTTCCTGGGGAGGGCGATTTGCTGGCAGGGAGAAGGCTGAGCACTGCTATTAGGGTTATAGCACATTGAGGAGATTGATAAGAGGGAAACTAATATTTATTCCAGCAATCTGTTCCCATAATAGCTTCTCCTGCCTTGCAGGACCTTTGTCAGATGCAGCCAAGCCACGTAGTGCGACACATAACTACTTATTGCAGGCGGTTAGGTGACTTCTAAAAGGCTGTGGTTATAACCTGCATGGCTGTCCCTGCACACACATGCACGTACATCATGTACATACACATATGTGTGACCCCAGTCTGTATCCTGGCATGCAAACGGGCCTCCCAGACCTGCAGGCCTGCAGTCACGTGTGCATGCAGGGTGCAAGAGCATCACATTGGCATGTATGAATATGCATGTATTAAGCAACATGTGCTTCGCTCTATGGGCTTGTGTGTGGCAGTGCATGTGTGGACATATACATCTGTGTGTCTGCAGGGGGATGTTCATGCACTTGTGTACTGGCTTTAGCCAGAGGAAGCCCAAGGAGAAAGAGGTTAAGAGAGGCTCCCACCTGCTTCCCAAGGCCAGGAAGGGGTTCTTTCTTCCAGGATACAGCAGGCTTATGGACACTCTGTGCTGTTCCCTGCCCTGGGCCAAGCTTTGCAGCCTTGGCCTTGGATGTGCAACATGCAGGCAGGGGGTGATGCCCCCCCCCCTTTGCTTGGCTCGCATCAGGGAGTTATTTGCACACCACCAGTGATCTCATCCCAGCAAGGTCACTGCAAACAGCCCGTGGGGCTCGCTGGAGCTCTCTGCCATGCGGTCCTGAAGAGGATGCTCGTTCTGGGGAGCATTAAATGCAAGTGCACCCGAAGGCCAGATGCTGCACCAGCAAGTGTTTGCTCGTGGCTGCTTTATATGGGAGGACACAGGGCCAGGGGCTACAGAGGAGCAAGCCTGGGGGTCTGGCTGATGCTGATCTTTGGATGGCAGTAGGATGGTCTGCTGCATCCTGTCTGATGGCATCTGTGCCAACAGGCCCCTGGGGGAGCAGCGCTTGATTGACAAGCGATAGGTGACCTGACAGAGAGATTAGAACCTAAGACACGTTTGGCATCTGGCCTGAAAGCCGTCACGCTCTGAAGTGCCAGCGGCAGCTGCTCAACTTCTGGATGAGCTGCCAGTGGTTTTTCCATCCCCACTGCCTCCTCTCCCCATAACCCTGCTCCATGGGAGAACAGAAACCCCAGGTAGGGAGAGGAAAAGCAGGGTGCCTTGAAGCCAGCGATGGGCACGCATTGGCGAAGGGAAGAAGATAGCACTACAGGTTTCTCGCATTGCAGCCCTGGGATGATTTGGCATGGACTGGAGCGGCAAGGGAAGCTTTGCCATCAGCAAGCTGTCTCCTAACGAACCACACATGATCACTGCTGTGTTTGCTGAGACCAGCTAGGAACTGGGAAGCCCCATTGGAATTAAGGTTCCCGAAGCCGCTGTTCACCTTGGCTATGCTTCCCATTGCAGTGGGAGTTTGGTTTTGCAAGGCAGGAGGAAATCCAATCCAGAGTCTTCCTTTGGAAGAGCTTCACACCAGGAGCAGCTTGGGCTGATACATGTCAAGAAAGTGATTTCTTATGGAGTTTGGCGTTGTCCTCAATGCCCATGGCTACAGTGAGAGCCTCGGCTGGTGCTGGGTTTTTCCTTGGCGCTTATGATTGAAGGAAGAAGGATGGAAACGTAACTTCAAGAAGCAATGTGTCCACGGGAAATGGTATCTTTTCAAGTATCTAAGCAGTGTGATAAGCAGAAGGGCTTTTGAAAGCTGGTTTCCTGTGGATCTGCATATCCTAGAAGAATTACTTGATGTCTAAAAATAAGGTTTTTCTGATCTGGGCCCTTCCTGCCCTTGGGAGCAGCCTCTTGTCCCCATGGGTTCTCTGATGTCTAATGAGGTTTAGCTCGCACCTGTACCAAGGATCCCACTTCAACTCTCTCCAAGAGCTTTATGATAGGATAATTCGGGCTCATTCTTCTGTCAGACAGCGCCGAAATTGGCCAGCAGGTTCAAAAAGCAGTAGATAAGGCAGGATGATGGACAGGCAGGACGATTTGCATGCGTCTCATTCTCACTGGAAACCGGCCATTAGGAGAAAGATGTGGCTTTTAAACCATGTACGTTGTGATGGGGAAGGCCTGCTTTGTCACTGGGTGCTGATGGCAGCAAGTAGGAGCCGGGGCAGGGGGATGCTCGGAGCCTTGCATGGAGGGATAAGGAGAACCTGTGGGCTTGGCCCCCGTCCTGGCATGGGGACAGGAAGCAGGGCTGAATGCAACAGCTGGCAGAGCTGGGCAGCGGGCAGATAGTGTTGCTGCTCTAATTCCTATTCACACAGCACTCCCTCTTTTATGGGGGGGGGGAGCAGGAGAAGGAGGAGGCTCTTTATGCTGGCATTAAAGCCTGGCTTGTTCCCCCTCCCTCTGCTCTGCTGTCTCCTGTTTCTCCGGCCCGCTTTTCACAGCGGCTTTAATTCTCTGCAGGCTCTTCCTAATGGATTTCTCACATGGGGCCCCCGGCACGCTCAGGCTGCGCGCTGCTTTCCAGAGATTTCACGCACCCCTCGGGCACAAAAAGGGGGATC